TTTCTGCTTTAGGGAACTTGAAACTCTTCGTGAAGCTTCAGCAAATTTAAGTTCCTGCGAACAACATTACTATGAATTGGAAGCTTCAGTTGGCCCAGTCTGTGAGCAGCTGGAAGCCTCTGAATCAGACAGGCAAGCTTTAGCTCTTTAAAAATGCAAAACGAAATGATTCAATGGGAAAATCTGCGTCGGTAACCGAACCTCTCTAATGATTGAACGGTGGGGCGCGCGCAAGTTTTCGGTCGACTGTCGCTAGCCATGCGCGCCGCGCGGCGCCGCGCTGCCCTTTCGAATGCGCCTGCTTTTGGCCTCACTTGCAGTTTTTTCGTCGTTTTAGACCTTATATTTTGTCCGGTCCGGTGTGCAATTGGGAAATGTCAAGGAAATTTGAGAAAACGTGTCTGGAAAGTCAGGGAAAATGGCAGGGGCCAAAATGTGGGAACCCCCCGTGTACTGCCGATGAGAGATATTTGGACGTTATGCACCGCCAACTTACTGTAGGTTTATTTTACAGTGTGCCTCCAAGCGAAGAGGGCGTCGACGCCGCCGCGGCCGCTGAAACCGGGACGCTGACTCCAAGGCCTCAGCGCCGCCGCAACGTCCGCGCCGCCACATTGTAAATATGTTTGCCGTTATTACACGAATGATTCTGGCAAATTTCTTACAAGGATTATTCGTAAAATTCCTCAGCGAATGATTCGTAAATTTTACGGATGACTTTTTCGGTTTACGTAACAAATAATTCGTAATTTAACGAATGGTCCGTTGCGCTGCACACTGAAATACGTATTATGTACTATGTTATACATAGCTATGAACGTCTATGCGCATCTATCAAATATGTATAAAATTCTTACGTATATATGTACAATTTGTGCATAACTTCATGCATAAACCAGTAAGAATTTGTACGTTTGTTATGCTGCCGTTTACGATAAATGTTGTAAACTTACGAGGAAATTGTTCACAATGGACCCGTCTCCACTGAAAAACAAACGACGACACAAAAAATAACTCCAGTTTGTAATTTATGTCAAGTCAAAAGTTAGCCTATTGGGTTTTGCGCTTGGGCGAGGTGTCGGTTGCGGCCAATGCACTGTTAGTTATCTGAAGTGCGATAAATTTCACACAATTTGCACCGATAATGGCCCAAAAAGCAATTCCCACGTTTTATTGCACCTGGGGGAGCCATAAAAAAAAATCACCGCACTAAAATAGCATTCAAAATTGCACTCAAATGCAATATTGAGTGCTTAAAAAGTGCGATACTTTTCTTATTGCAGTAACGAATGCGTTAAAAGTGTAATAGAATTATCACCGCAGCTATATGTGTGAAAATAATCGCATTTATTTAGATGCAATAACGAATGTCAATGCTGTGCGATAATTCTTTTATGGCTCCCCAAGGTGCAATGAAACGTAAGAATCGCTCCTGGGTCATCATCATTGCACTTAATTTACAGTCATCATTGCATTTGGAATTACAGCTTGGTGCCGACTCCAGGGAGGAAGGCTCCAAGGAAGAAGCAGCGGAACGGCAGAGACAAAGGTGAGCACCAACAGACCAGCAGGCCAGTACAGGGGCCAGGAAGCAGGCGCCGCCGCCGTCGGTGGGCACCGAGGGTTTCAATGCCGGCAATTTTACCGGTATTATACAGGGTATTTTACGGTGTAATACGAGTACCGGTATTTTATTTTTACTTATTTTGTAACATAAAAATAAAAAATGAATTTTTCCGTAAAAGCATTACTGTAAGGGAAGGTGGGTGGGGGCGGCAGGGAATGGGTTAGCCGTTTGCTTGTCGTGTGGGAATCTCCTCGTGATCCACCCGGGAGGTTGTTAGGACGGGGGCGGCCTAACTGCTTGCATGCTTGCATACTGTGCCTGGCAGCCTGCTAATCTGATCCACAAACGCGTAGGCCACTCTTCGGCCCGGCTTCTTGCTAATCTGCACTTTCCTGAGCTTGCATGCCCGCCTTGCGCATGCATGGCCTGCACGGCTGCCTGCTAAATTTCAGGTGTGCTCCCTAAGACTGCCAGCGTGTCTCCGTCGCCTTCACCGCAAGGCTGGCCTTCATTGCGCCCTCCACCTTCGTTTGCTGTGCGCGGTATGGCCCCCCTTACGCGGGCCACATCGCGTGCCGCCGGCTCTGCAGCTACCTCGATCGCCGGGACCTGCGCCGGCCTCGGAGCGCTGGACAAGGCCTACTGCCTGCTCGCCCTGGAGCTGCTCGGGGAGGCAGGGTGCAGGCGCCCCCTGCCCGACGGCCACCTCGATCACCGGGACCTGCGCCGGCCTCGGAGCGCCGGACGTGGCCTACTGCCTGCTCGCCCTGGTGCTGCTCGGAGAGACTGGGTGCAGGCGCTCCCTTCTTGACGGCAACCTCGACCACCGGGACCTGCGCAGGCCTCGGAGCGCCGGACGTGGCCTACTGCCTGCTCGCCCTGGAGCTGCTCGGGGAGGCTGGGTGCTTTTGCTCCTTGCTCGACGGCCGACACAGACGTCTCTGAAGCTGCCGCAGACGCTTACTGTGCTTGCCTGTTGCCTGCCTTACCCTGCCTTCTTGTGCATGTTTTCCTTCCTCGCAGATTTTGTTGCCTATGCACTAACCCTACACACGAGTTTAGCTACCAGGGCCCTCGGCTGTCGTGCGTGGAGCGCGGCGGCGGACTTACTCTGTGGTATTGCTCTTTCTGCTACCACCTTATAGTGGGTCGGCCATTTGCGCTACACTTTTTTCCAGGGCTGTGGAGGCTCCCGTGCCGGCGGAATGGGGCGGCCCCTTGCACCTGGCGCGCGCTGCACGGTGCTATTCCTACCCTAAACCATACGCGCGCCAGAAGGGCGTACCTCCCGAGCCTCGATCCCAAGGGTCGTGCCTCTCACAGCTATCTATCTATCTATCTATCTATCTATCTATCTATCTATCTATCTATCTATCTATCTATCTATCTATCTAAAAGCATTACTGTAATTACTGATCGTTAACAGACTGCTTTTATATGTATTCTCTGTGCATCAGATCGAGGTATTACAGAAGTATTCCGCGTGTAATACACCGAAAAAAGTCAAAATATGCTCTAAAACCCGTATGGCTGAGTACGGTGTCAGTGTTATATTTCGGCGTAACGTTGTCGTTTGATCATGGCTAAAATACGGCAAATTACGGACGAAAATACGTTCAAGGTCCAGCCTCCTATCTCTATCTTAGTGCAGGGCGAAGCTGTGGCGTTGTGGAGAACAAGTGCTTTTGGCTTCTGCTCGATTGGAACAAGACGCGGGTGCATATATCAGTCTGCGCTCGTGTTATAGCCCTAGTTCCGCGCTGCTTCACACGCACTTGAAATCGCACGCCGCGCGCCCGCCTTCATTAGGGTGCACCAAAAAAAAATTAATTTTTCCTATCGGTGGGTATTTGGAAAGATAATAGTTAGATAAACCACCCTGCGAAGTCTGAACGCCGTGCGCCATCGCTAAGGGCGTGCGCAAGGGCGTTTCTTTCCGGGGTCAGGCGTGCCTCGCGCAGGGACGGTATTTTTGCAGCCCCGGTACTCGGCAGTGGTGTGGCCGAGGAACGCGAGCCCGGGCTCTTTCGAACCCTTATGGGTTC